GCAGCAAGTGCTGCTCACTTGGGTATCAGTGCCCTTCAAAGAATTCAAGCTCTGTCAAGCAGACAGAAAAGCAAGCACCTTAAGTCAGAAGGAGGCAAGACATCTGGACACTCCTCTGCTCAGCATTTCCACTGCACAGCAGCCTTCCATACTAAACACGTGGACTTCTTAGATTGTCTAGCTCTTCCCACTGATTTTGCAGATATCTAACTTTGGTATCAATGTCTTAATACTTAATTTTCGGACCTTGCAAATATGTATAGAAAACATTTAAAAAGGTGCCTTAATTTTCAGTGATCAAATTATGAAAAAGATTAAACATGCCATTCCATCAAAACAATGCCAACATGTGAAACAACTGCCCTTTAAGTTTGTTCTGGCCCTTCTTTCTCTTCTCACCTCATTTCTCTTCACTATTCTTTCATAAAACCTCCTCCCTGAAGGAGAGAAACTTTATTTCTTAGATATCCAGGAGTCTCAAATAACCTTCTGTGATGTCTGTATTTCATCCATACTCGCTCCATCTCACTTCAAAAAAAGATAGAACGCCTGCTTTCATGTCTAATCTTCTTTGAAAAATAGTAGATGGAAACCAAACTTAATGCATGACTGTATTACTTTGCTGCACGAACAAACTAAGACAGTTTCTCGTAAATGAAATAGGATATACAAACAGGAGAGAGACAAGTAATCCCACCTAAATCTGATGGAAAGGAGGCAATCTGACAGACAGACACAGGACTGAACTGCTGTTTTCACACAAGCCTGTTACAGACTGTTCCTGAGAAACTGGGTCAAATTTAGTCTGATCAATAACATCTGCCTAATTTTAGAGCTTGATTCAAATGTCTCTAGAAGTGTTAGCTCATAAATAGAAGAAAGCATCAGAAAGCAGGAGGGACAACAGAACCGCACATGGAACAACTCATGAATGGCCACAGTTTACAGAACACGAAAAAATACTAAAAATCGGTTACAGTTTACTTTAAAATGGTCAACTTTAAGTAACAGCAATTCAAGTGCTGTTTCACATGTAGTTCAGTCATCCTTGTTAACGCATCCAGGAGGGAGGCGAGACACCCAGGCACGACTCCAGCACTCTGCCTTTAACCCACCTGTATGTTGATCAGGCTGCTGTATTCATTTCACTGGGTGCTAACACACATGTGAAAGACAACTCAACACTCCGCTATGTCAGTGCTCCTAAGCTCATCTAAGAAGATGATACAATCCAGCCTGAGTGACATTTTCTTAGCAGATACCATCTGTTGTGTTTCCATTAAAAAGATATTATATAACAAGATATTTAACCTTCTGTAGTTTATATTTAGTTATTCATGAAAGGACTTCGACAGAAAGCCTGTGAGCCTGTGAAACAAGCACAGGAGAAACTCTGTTGGTTAATTTTTGTACCTTTGTTAGATGGAACATAATCATGCTAGACAATGGAGAAAAGACTAATTTATGGGCTAGCAGACACTAGCTATTGTGAAGGACTCTAAAAACAATGCACAGGAAGCACAGGAAGAAAAATGCCTTTGGGCAAAACAAAAGAGTGACATGAGGAAGAGCTTTAAGGTGTAACCATCCATGAATGTCTAAAGAAAGTTAAAGTGATGCCCTTTCACCAGATAATGACTGATTAATCCTGTTTCGCCATCGTTTGCAGAGGCAAGCATTAGAAAGCTAATGACACAATTAAAAATACAACAGAATAAAGGGAATAAGCACTTTTCATTTGAGCCCTTCTTGAGCTATTGGCTTAGAGCCCAACAACATAAGATTTGCATCTCCTGGGGGTGACTCAAACGTTATGCACCCTCACAATTACATTGCCATTAGGAATTAACAACACTTTGTTGAAACAATCTTATAAAATGTTATAAATTGACAATTCATACAAATTGTGCCTTAATACATGCTCTCAGATGCATTATTCCACTGCTCTGTCAGCTACTTAGCATCCCTAGATTAGCAGCCTTTTTTCTCCACTATCAATTTTATACCAGGCTAAAGCCCAAGAGACCAGCAGGGCACCAAAGTCTCAAGGAGGAGTAAAACCTTTACGCTCAGTAGAGTGCCAGGTGACTGCTATTCCAACAAGGGGCAGTCTGGTAAAAAACAAAGATATTGTGTGTTCAATTTGCAGTAATTACAGTCAGTCAAAAAATATAGTTTAGAATCATGGCAGTGAAGAGCACCCACTTAAGAATAGGCAGGAACACACAGGTACCAAGGGGTCTGTTGAAGAACATCCTACTATACAAGAAGGTATTTTTTGTAAGCATTTAGGAAAATCAAATAAAGTAAGAACCTAAGTGTTTTTAAACTACTCTGGAAGATGGTATTTAGAAGTCTGAAACAAGAACAAGAGTTCAAAACAAAAATTACCTAAGCAACTTGTTTTCTGGACAGAACTCACTGCAACAATCTGTCAGTTCACTAAAAGAGAATAGCCTGAAGAACTGTTTTGGTAGAAAGAAGAGCACGAAAAATAATTTCACAGACAGATAATATATTTTTCATAAGTCAGTAACACCCCTCCAAGTACCTTGAGTAAGAGATATGTTAATTTTACTTTTGTACTGCTTATATCTTAAACTATTAACGATTACTCTTACTTGATAATTGATTTAAAGCTGATTTTTTTCATTTATAAACAGGATAAAAGGATAATGATTTTGTTAGAAATGATGCACCAACTGGAATCTTAAAAGAACTTAAAGAAAGGTCTTCTGCCTTTAAGGGTTTACAAGGTCTTCTCTCTCTATTGACATCAGCAAGGCCAGCCAGCTGCTGAAGTTCAGCACCCTGTCAAACTGGAACAATTATACTTTCTACTGCCAAGAAGCTCCAACTGTGATAAACAGCATGACATACTGTATATTAAGACCTTGACTGTGTCCAAGTGTCTACACCTCGCACAAACTGACCTTACGTTATAAATACTTCAAGACATTCTACAAAGTTGTATCTTCAAAAGTTAGAAAAAAGGAAAGCAATTATGATAAAACTAGCACGATGTGTTCCAAAAGTGTTGCATTTGTAGGCATTTGCTTTTCACTTCCATTTTCAATCCCTTCTGTAAGTTTGGTGGGCTAACTTTGAAGGAGTTTTATGGGATGCCTATGGTAAAAAAAAAAGGCTGAATCTTTGGCTGTGTTTACTATACAGCAGTGAAAGACTTGCTTGTTATGTTTGAACTACTGAGACTACAGAAATTTTTCAGGACTCAGAAATGCAAATACTCCTAACCTCAAGTATTTGCCCGTCTACGAGGCTGAAGGCTCTAATGCCTAGCATTTTTACAAATGAACTGACACTAGGAAAGAGCATTGTAAATCTACGCACTAAGCCGATCCTCTGACACTGGAGGGAATAGAAGCAGACTGCAGAAAGCTCAGTTAAGCTGAAGGAACAAGAGAAGCTTTTTCCAGATTGTTTCATCTCTTCAGCACAATTCAAATACAGTTGGAACAACAACAGCATTTTTCAATTAAATAGCACTTCTCTCTAACTGTTTTCAGTCACTAGAGAAGATTCTTTTCTTGTGTACAGACAGCTGTAGGAGAGAGGTCATAATGAGGAGATCATAAAGAAACTGATACCTTTGTTTATAATGTAAATAAATAAAACCATCACACATAGATTTAGAAAGCTGACATAAACAGAACACTAGAAAAATGCAAAGAAAAAAGTTCAAATGCAGAGTTAGAGGTGTACATGCAAAGCTAATTTTGACCATATGAGTGGGATTCTTCTCACCTAATTTTAGACATCTCTGACAGAAACGAGCTGGTTGCCCTGGGCTTCTTTGTACCCAATGGAGAGCAAAAAGACTCCTTTCAGGAATGATTCACCAAACTTATTTTAGATGTCAACTGTAGAAATGAGATGAACTACTCCCTACAAGTCCCCCAAATCCTCCTCCCACAGCCCAAATCCCACCTGTCAACTAAGTCCAGGAGACTAGTAGGCATGTATAATGTAGACATCTGATCAGGAGAGGGGACGGGACATGGGGAACACAACAGACACTCCACCCACATCACTACCACCCACCACATCATCTTACTTCAGTGGTCAGTTTTGTTGTTGTTTTTTTTTTCCCCCCTCCATCATCCATTGTAAAATTCTTGGTAGTGAATTTCCTGGGCACTTTATTCCTTAAGATTCTGATATGCCACCCCTATTGTAAAAGGTGGCAAGAGGGCATCAAGTTAACATAAACAGAAATTATAAGAATAAAAAGTATCACAGTATTGCATACACATTCCAGAGGACAAAGAAGTCAGACTCATTCATCAGGGCAGGATACTCTCCATTTTAATTATGAACTACAATATAGGGCATGTATTTCACAATATATATCTGACTCGCAGCAGATTTCCTCCTGCTATCACTGAAAAACTGAAGAATGTTAGAAAATGACACTTACAAACCTGGTTAATATATAACAAAAAATACGACTGTTTAGTACCACTGGTTGAAGAGAATAATCATCTTTATGATCTCAACTATTTCTATTCTTTTGGTATACTCTCTTATCTCATTCAAAAACAAATGAATATTTTTGCTAGAACTTCATTACAAATGATTTAGCATTTCAACAAAACAGAAGAGTTAGTCCAAGAATCAAGCTTCAAAAAGAAAACTGCAAACTGGGTTCACAGTGTCTATTCCGAATCCAAATTCAGATCTATTTGGATAACAAATCAAAAATAAACCAAAAATCACAACAAAGCAGATTAATTAATCAAAAAGGTGATTAATTTGTCAGTTTGTCCACACTTCCCTCATCTGTTTGGAGGAAAAAAATCAATGATCTTTAATCTCTAGCAAAGCTCCCAGAAAACAGTGGTTTGCAGTTACTCGGCAATGTTCTGTACCACGCCTGCAGCAAACAAGCATTAGAGAAAGCCCGGAATTCAGATCTATTTAGGATTTGAGGGTATTTTTGTACATTTGTTATAATCCACTAATTTTTTTAATTTGATTTTTTATTTATAATCTGAAACTATTTAGATAAAACAATTGTGTGAGAGATGATAAGGAAAAGATATTATCAACACTGAAATACAAGAAAGAGATCTTTAAGATACCTGAGAAGCAGCAACATGTTATTTTTAAACAAAAGTCCATACCAAATATTTCAATTGCTCTGAGAAACTGGACCCTCTTCAAAAAAAGTACATTTTCTTAAAAATTAATTGAATTACCACTGTTGTGAAGGAAAATCTGAATCACCAAGAACATCCATTAAAAAAAAAAAGTAACAATATTTTTAAATTCTATTGTAAATACTTTGTATCAACTGGAAGAATCACTTTAAATCTAGTCAATTTTTACAAGGAATAGGACAGGTTTTATAAGCCACTGTTTTTACTAACAGAGTAATTAATAGGTCATTTCCAACACAAATTACAGTTCACAACATGAGAAGCCCTGATTACACGTGTATTACATTTAGGGAGAGTGCAAGCAGAAGCAAGAAGCCAATACAAAATCATAGTTACAACCATGTCTAGAATGGAAGGTCACAACATCTGGATGCAAGCAGTGTTACCACACAGTGATTGCTTCATTGAACAACAGACTTGAATAAGAAATTAATTATAAAGACTAGAAAAAAAAAAAAACAAACAGAATGAGACTATTGCAAGTTGCTTACCAATATCGATATATTTTGGGTCCAAGGGAGTGCCAATAGAATTGCAGAGAACCAGCACGTACTGTGTGGAAATAAAAGCAAGCATCATTACTACCACATTTTTTGTAAATTAGTAAGCTGTACAAAGTTTTCTATGAAGGTGTATCTCATAACCCACATTTCACACAATATGATATTAATCAACAACAGGAAACAGAGGGACCATGACTACAGTAACTATAAAGTAGCATAAGCATGAGAGTAATGAGATATTTGCCAATTAGCACTATAAATGAAGCCAAGCACAAAACAGGAACATGACCAGCTGATTTAAGCGAAAGAGCAACTCTACCAGACAAAATACAGTACGTAGGACGTACCATCAGCAGGGTCCACAGATAACATGCAGGCAAGACAGCCAGTGTCTCACCCCTTGCTCTGTGGGCCACACACTGTACTGCCATTATTTACTGGAATGATACACCAGTGACTTATAGAATCATAGAATGGTTTGGGTTGGAAGGGACCTCAAAGATCATCTAGGTCCAACCTCCCTGCCATGGGCAGGGAAACCCTCCACTACACCAGGTTGCCCAAAGCATCATCCAACCTGGCCTTGAACACTTCCAGGGATGGGGCATCCACAACTTCTCTGGGCAACCTGTTCCACTGCCTCATCACCCTCTGAGTGAAAAATTTCTTCCTTAGATCTAATCTAAATCTCCCCTCTTTGAGTTTAAAGCCATTGCCCCTCGTCCTATCACTACACACCCTTGTAAAAAGCCCCTCTCCAGCTTTCCTGTAGGCCCTCTTTAAGTACTGGAGGCTGCGATAAGATCACCCTGGAGCCTTCTCTTCTCCAGGCTGAACAGCCCCAACTCTCTCAGCCTGTCTTCATAGGAGAGGTGCTCCAGCCTTTGGATCATCTTCGTGGCCCTAACTTCAACTTCTCAGTAACTCAACTCTCTCCTCGTTGTTCATGCAAAGGATCATCTGATAAACTGCATCAGATGCCCTTGCTAGCAACCAGAAGTCAGGACCCTTGTTCCATCCTTTGCAGACCTTGATCATCTCAAACCTCCAAGAGGGCTGCAATGTGGGGAGAATTGTGAATAAGGCTATCCCTCCGCCCTGCAGTATCACAGATACCACAAAACTGATGAGTTCTGTTAGTTCTGCCCCTCTTGTAATCCTGCTCAGGAAGGCTTTGATAGCTCAGACACCTCAGGTTGGTCTCTTAAACTCAGGAAGATGCAAATAAATAAAAATCGACCTAGACACCAATTCTTCATTGTTGTTACTGGTGTATTTATTTTTCCAGGTGTAAATCAAGGATTAAACAGCTTTAGGATGATAGCACAGGGAAATAAGAATGTCTACAATGAGAAGTGTGGAAATTAAGTAGCAACTTTTACTGTAAAGTCTTTAGATGGAAAAAAAAAAAAGCTGCCAAAACACCACCTAAGAGTTGTAATCCTGACTCTCCAGGAAATGGAAGATAATTAGTTCTTCATAGCTCTTTCCATTTCCTGAACAATTAATGTATTTGTGGCAGCAGACTACAGCAACTGTACAGCTTACTCCTTTAATAAACTATCAATCTGTCAGTTTAATCACATGAGAATGGCAGAATTTAGGTTTTCAGCTACTGTAGGAACTTCATTCTTTCAAAGAAAAAGATCTGAACTAAGATTTCTTTTCAATAAATAATTTATTTTTCTGATTCTGCCAATAAACCTTACAAAAATAGTATTTTTATTTCTTCGTTCATGAGTTAAATTTTCCACTAGCATTCTCAAATTTCTCTTTCCAAAAAGTAGGTTGAGCCTCCATCTCTGTAGGAAACCACACCTGGCTTTTTAAACCATTTATTGTTTGTTTCCGTTATGTTTATATTAATTCTTCTCTGGTAAATTATCTAGACATTCACTCTTTAATCAATTTCTCTTTTATGCTCTTTTCACTTATTTCTGAGACTCTAAGTGAGTAGATCAGAGGCTGCCAAGGGGTGATGCAGTAACAGTACCCAACACAGAGGCTGCACGAGCTACACAGGGTGGTGCCAGAAGCAGGGAGTTTGCATTGTCCCATTTGATCAAAGCAGAGAGCTCAAACCTTGCTACGGGTATCAACACTAAATTCTTCATAACTTACTGAGGTTCACATCCTCTTGCAATACCTTTAAACACTTAAAAAAATTAGTCTTTTTTGCCCCATCAGCTATTGCTGTACATTTTGTCATCTTGAAATCACAATTCTAATGACTGAAATCTACTGAAAAACAAATCTGTTTTTCAGAAAGCAACTCTATTAAACTGGCCCTCAAAGGATAAGCTTGTTCACTTCATTTCCTAAAAGCTGTCCCCTCCCACTGGAGCCATTTCGAAAGAACTGAAAGATGCTTATTATCTGTAATTTTCAGATGCTAAAATAAAATCTCTTATTTATGCTCAAAAAAGTTAGTGTAAGTCCCTCCACTGTTTGTTTCTTATTTTAAAAATGCAACCCAGAAGAACCTCATTTTATTGCACTCAATTTCATCAAATGGTTTTGACCATGTATATCATATTTTCAATCCATACAACAGTACACTACTTACTGCACAATCAAGCAAAGTAGCACTAAAGTATTTTTTTTACCGTTGCACCAATTGACTCCATCTCGTGCTCCTCCTTTGTAAGCAATATACAAGTCATATAGAAAATAATTCAGAAGTGAACGCAGTAAGAAAAACCATGTAACAGTTAGCATCACGCTAACTGAATACACATTAACCAATGGATACATTTATCATTATCATTTGTCACAACATTTAACATAAAAAATAAACAAATAAACAGAGCAGTTTGTAGTAACACATGATTTATATCACCTAAAAAATTCCCCTTTTTTTAACACTTCTGACTGATTAAATATTTGTTACCATTCTTATGCTCTCCTGTTTTTAGTTTTTTTCTTCGGAGAACTGTTCTAAATATTTCTAAAGAAACATTAATATGGAAGGCTGCCGTTTGCATTAAGTTACTAATGGCTACAAGGAGTTAAAAATATAGAGGCAGTTAATCGGTTCTGCACATTTCTGCTACTACTTTGTTGTTTGTTGGAGTTCTTTGTTTTTAAACACTGAGTCCATTCAAGTGCCATTCTGTCAAATGAAAACTGAACGACACACTCCAAGACAGATTCAGAATTTAATATTTCATCTTATTCTGGCTGTAAAGCACTGACATGCAGAACAGAGTGTTTCAAGTGAAAAGACTTTACCTGAGGTTGATTTTCATCTGCTTTAGTTGCTAATACACAGAAGTCTCCATAAGTTGTTATGGAAATCAAGCTCTTGACATATTTCACATACTTCTCATTGTTTTTTGTGTCCCAAAAGACTACACAGTATTCTGGACGATCGGGTCGGGTATACGCATAAACAACTGTATTGCAGCAGTAACCCCACTGCCAAGAGAGAATTTTGATAAAACCTATCAGAAATCATAAGAATTCAATAATAAAATTGTTTATAGCTACAAGTTTATTTCATGTACACAATCACTATTCAATATTCTTTATCTGTCAATGATTAACTGATTTATTAGAAGCATGCGAACACAGCTCCAGTAATAAGTTATTTGTGTAATATTAAACTGAAAGAAGCATTCCCATCACACAGAATAGCCTATCGCAATCAGAATTGGAGGATCAACCTCAAAATGTGACAAAGATCTCACTTCCCCTTGTTTCTTCCTTGTTCAGTGGGTACACAGAAATACCCACTGTGATGATGGTTTTTGCCATGAAAATGCTTGCTCTATGACTATTGATTTGGAAACCCAGAGCTCATTTCCCAAGGAAGATATAATAAACACCTCAAGCAGTGCAATTCCTGAAGCAGACAAAAATAAGCAATTATATTAGAGCACTATAATAACTCATGCCACCTCTTCCATATCAGTAACATGAGAAAAACCCTCCCTTCCTCCCAGAAGACTATAATTATTCACGTAACAAGTAGGAGAAAGGGCAAAAAGGCAAAAGAAGAAATGGAATATCCAAACACTGTATTTTATTGTATTCAACTGATTTAAGTTAGAGGAATTAATAATAAAAACTCTTTATAACACAGCAGGATCAGAAAATACCTGGTGGAAAAAATCTTCAGGTAGTGAAGCTAACAAATAAACAAGATAAAAAGCAAACCACTTAAGGATGATGATGCAATTGTAGAAAAACTAATAGAATTCTCTGCACCACCATTTACTAGATAGAGAGGAGAAAGCTTGTTAGAGAGCTGGCCAGAAGGGTTCCCACACTCCATTGTCTCAGTTTCATTCCCTGTAAACTAAAGTATCGGACCAAAGAACTTTTAGAGTAGATCTATAAACTGAATGGTAATAAATTGTCAGAACCCTCGAGTAGACTCCTACAGGAATTCAAACACAATGCTGTAGAGAACAGCCAGAGGAACAGGAGTGGGCAGATGTAAAAAGCGTTACAATTCTGGGAATCACAAATCAGTAAACCCTGCTTTCACACAAGGTAGAGATGTAAAAAAATAAATATTAAAAAAAAAAATCCCACAAATATAATACATAATGGAATAAGATGGATATGGATAAATACTATACACTGGACAGTCACGTTTTTAGCCGTGGAAGTTATACCTCATTCTTTTATTATTATTTATTATCTTTCAGAGAGGCAGCAGGTATGTGAATGAAGATTACCCAACGGATATGACCTACTTGGATTTTCAAGAAAATCAAGCTTCTTTCTTACAGGAAGAAAAATAAAAGGATTGAAATAAAGGTAGTTTTGAGAACGGAGAGCACTACCCACAGGATCCTTCCCAGAGAGGCAAACTGGAACTTAGGCTATTCTGACTATTTAAAATTTAATGAAAGGAAAGTTATGAGGTAACAAGTCAGTAAACTGTATATCATGATTGTCAAACCTAAAACTGATTTCAAGAAGTGGCAAAGGACCCCAGAATGCTGGATGATGAGGATGTAAAGTGAAATCCAACATAGATTTGAACAAAGTAATATACACCAGCAGAAATCTAACTAGATCTGTCATATTAATTTAGAACCCCCTTATTACGGTAATACTTGAAAAATACAGGAAACTGGATTATTTAGTAGATTGGCAATGTGATACTAACACTTCATCTCCAGGTCATTAACTCCAATCCAGTCTAAGTTAATGACAGCTTTGAATTACTACCCTTTAATGACTGTCACCTTTTAGCATATCTAGTTCCTAAAAGGGAGTTGCTAATATAATCAGAAAGAACTTAGCGGCAGTAATGTGTATTATTTACTGAAGGACAATACATATCATTCACCATAAAAATATTTAACATTGAAATTGAGTATACTACTAAGAGGTTAAGAGTTTATTTGCTGCAGAAATAAATTAATTTGAGCACATCTTTTTTC